CCACTTTTTAAGTGGCTGGGAAGCATCATAAAAACCAAAACGAAATCGCAAGGTCTCTTTTTGCCTGGGTAGCCATTTCAGTCACTTATGCAAATCCTTGTTTCAAGTTCTCGCACAAACTCATGCTGGCTAACTGTAGCGATTCCATTTTTGTCAAGGCGAGGGAGATTATCTGGGTTTGTTAGTTAAGCCTTCTTCACAAACTAGGAAGGGGCTGAAAAAATCCATGTGCTAATACCTTGATCCTTGATCCTGTATGGGAATGAAGAAAAAGACGCAGAAACTAAGCAGATCTAGAAGACGTCTGAGAAACTAGCGGTTCGATAAGTTAGGCATGAAAAATGTACAAACTGAGACTCACGTCGTTCACGGGCAATTCCGAGCAGACGTAGCAGAGCGCAGCGTAAGATTAAATGCGTTGTGTGCATCTCACAAACTTCAATTTTATTTAACGCCTAATGTTGTCAGCAGTGTGTGGCACTTCCCTTTAGCGAATAAATGGATTTGAAGTTGATGCTGACTTTCTCTAATGCTATGTTCTGTTCTCTATGTGTCTGCATTTATTGTCCCTAATTAAGCATGCTCAAAAATCCTCTAGGAACGGTAAGATCTCCAGTCAAACCACAAACACATTAGGTGGCCCATAGACTGATTAGGGGTAGGGGCTGGGGTCCCCGACCCGCGCGCGCTCTTGCGGCACATACGAAGTTATTACGACAAGGGAGGGGAGTGATCATTTTGTACTCCTACTGACTAGTATAGGGCGCCATTCGTTGCGGGACCCACTGCCTTAACCCGCGGGGATCCCATGTGATCGCGGTTGAATTCGAACATTCCAGCTTCTCACGCATGTCAAGTGTCTGCCCTCACCCCCCACCCCCCTAGACTGGCGACACTGCCCCTGGCTCACGGATTCCCCGCTCCACATTGAAGGGTTCACTGTAGCAGGAGGCAGTGGGACCCGTAAGAATGGCGTGGCTCCCCCACTTTCTTCACGATTTGGGGCGCGGCCGCGGCGAGCGCGGACGAGTCGATAGTGCCCGCGAACTGTGGTGGTGATGCGTTTTCAAATTTACCCACACAGTTCGCGGGCACTATCGACTCGGCCGCGCTCGCCGCGGCCGCGCCCCAAATCGTGAAGAAAGTGGGGGAGCCGAATGACGTCCTTTAACAAGTCAGAAGGAGTAACAAAACGATGCGTTTCGGGGGAGTGTAGCCAATTCAGGGGGGTTGGGGGTGAGGGCAGTCACATGACATGCGTGAGAAGCTGGAATGTTCGAATTTCCTGTTGCCGCACAGCCGCGCGGCGCGGTGCGGTGAACGTAGCGCCCCCCCCCCGGGCACAAAGCGCTGATTAGCCATCGAATCTTTATAAAGGACACAAATTTAACGGGCGAATTGCCGTATATGGAAATCTCCAGCGAGAAGTAGCGAATGCTTGAATAGGAATTCAATGCTAGGACATGGAAAACTGCATAGGAACACAACGGGGAAGGCTCGAAGTGCGCTGTCGAAATAGTGAAAGCCGGGCATAGTACACAGTGCAATAAAGAAGTTGTGTAAAGTGAAAGAACGGCCTTGCAATAGCCTGGAATTTGAAAGCGAGGACGTCTCTGTTCCTGATTTAAAGCAACAATCCAGGAACGAATTCGCGGGTAAGGACCACCTATAATGACGTTGCAGGTGAGAAGTTGGTCAATGGAGAAAGAAAAAGTAGAAAAAAACGTCGGGCAGGGGCTTAGACAGGGACTCCCCCTGCCGTTTAGGGAGACGTGTGTTGGACGAGTTGTCCGAACCTGCCCGTAGTACATGCGCTCCAATTGCAACTGCTGGCAAATAGCCATGCATGCTTGCAAATACATAACTATTTGCCAGCAATCGAAATTGAAGCGCTTCAAGTTGCGTTCTTATGGAATCGACCTCATACAGCGCGGCGGTCCCGCAACGACCGCTATTCGAGCAAGCGCTCTTCACAGCAGCAAGGAGGCGGGTCAACCGAGGCTCGGTTGACCCGCCCTTTTCGACGAACTTCGAGCCCTTCTCACGCATTTCAGAGGTGAGTTTTTACTTCAGTGACAGTTCCTTTCGACTTCACTTGGGCTGGGGCATGCTTCCACACCTCAGCTTTGGATTAGTTGAAACCCTCCCTGGACTGTTGCTTTAAGACTTTGCGTAAATCTAGGCGGCGCAAAAGTTCTAGAATTTCAAGCAAGCATTTTGGTAGTAACAGCTCTTTTCTGGGACGGCAAGTCAGCAACCTTCACAGCATACTGTCTTTGAGCCGACGCATTGCTGATAAGGGGATCCTCAAAAACGTATTTTCAAAAGTTTTTTTTGTATATTGTACGGACTTTGTTCATGGAAGACAGCATTCATTTTTGCTGAGCGTTCTAAAAGACGCCAAGGCGATGTGCAAATTCTCAGGAAGTCAATTTTCGGCGATTTTCACATTTGTTATGCATCAACTAGCGAGTGTTTGCATATTAAGATAACCCTTTCCAGATTGTTTGGGCATTTCATCAAGAACTGGTCGAATTTCCACAGAAGCTATGACGCCCTTATGCCGATCTCAGGACTTTGCCGAATAGGAGCCGTTCACTTAGGCCCTGTTCAGAGATGTCCGCTTGCGCGAAAAAACGCATAGGCGAAACAATGTGAAATATGTATCGACTGAACGAAGACGCACAGGCGAATCGTGAAGTGGGAGGATCGACGAAAATGAGTATCATACGCATCGACTTACGAACGCTTCGCTCACGCGATTTTCCGCCTGTGCGTTTCTCACAGTCGATACATATCAAACTCTTGACTGAAATTCGCCTGCTCCGGACGTTTCGCTTACGCGTTTCACAATTTCTCAGTCGATGCGTATCTAAATCTTGGCGGAGATTTTCGCCTGTGCGTTTTTTCGCGCCGGCGGACATCTCTGAACAGGGCCTACTTGGGAATTCGCGCGATTCGCTAGCGTCTGCGGTCGCGTCGCGGCCAGTGAATCACTCAATTGGCTGGTACCGCAACGCGACCGCGGACGCTAGCGAATCGCGCGAATCGCTAGTAGCGAATCGCGCGATTCGCAAAGTCTGACATCGGCCCTATCCGTTCTCGCTGTTTTTTGGTAGTTCGAAGCCCTCAGCGGATGTAGATGTCGGTTGTGTGTTCCACGCATGTGTCCCAACAAATACAGAGACAATTCGTATTTATTTTTGATCCAATTTCGCTCAAGTGAGAGTTTTAGACGCTTTCATAGTCGGTTGTTACGAGATGATCGTTACGATCGTCACATGTGCATTCCATGATGGTCATCGGGCAGGTAAAAGCAGGACAAATACTCATGCCTTCCTTCTCTTTCCTGCACAAGCGAAATAGCTCACCCACCATGGAGCTCCCCTTCATCTGCAGAATAGTGTGCTTGGAAGGCGGCTTGGGCTATTGTGACGCGATAGCCCCACCGCCCTCTTCAGCACCTCAATTTCTATGAAATTTTGTTTTTAACGAGTTTTGCCGCTGTTCTACATGAAATCTTGGGAAATCTGTTCGTGTTCATAGCAATCTAATCCGTTGTATTTCAGGCGGTCCGTAGAGGGATCAAGTTACTGTTCGGGTGTCGTCGTTAGCCAACGTTGCTGATAACATTGCGGATTGTGCGCAATACTGGTGCGAGTTTAGAAACCATGCATGTTAGATCTTTATAATTTGCGTGATGTGCGACGTTTATATGTCCAAAGCGAAGACAAGACTACATAACCCGCACGTTCATATGTAATTCAAGTTTCGGTAGTGATTTCACCGCCACATGAGCTCCTAATTTGTCAGAATTCTGAACCCTCTTTGATGCAGCTTTTCCCGCGTGTTTCTTTCCAACCGAGCTGCTAATTCTAACGGGACGCACGAGCTGAATTCTACTTTTACCTAGTTGCAGTTCATTTTTTGTCTGGTTCCTCTATGTCTCAGTGTTTCATGGAGTGTGATATTTTCAGGCTCGTTCTGAATGATCCTTTATCTCCAAACAGGATAAGATGAACACCGCCACAACGTTCCGTCATCGAATATGTTGGTTATCTACGCGTACCTCGACTTTTGCGGCAGCTTTACCCAAGAAAAGTCGCGAGGACATCATTTCGGTATTTCCTAGTTTTCTGGTTTTGACAGTTTCCCAGACGCTTAATTTTTGTTGAAAAGTGTCCGTAGGAAGAGGTCAATGCTCTTGCGCATGCATTGCTTTATTTAACATTTCTCTCGGGCCTATCCCTAGTGGATCGGGCTGAAAGTTAGGCTGATGTCAGAGTCCGCGATCCGTCGCAGGTTTCGCTGATTTTCGCGATTTGCGCGATTTTCGCGAAACCTGCGATGGATCACAGGAGTTGGAAGTGCCCGATGAATACTGCGAGGTGTTGTTTAATCCTGCTGCGAATTCTGCTTGGCAGTAAAGATTGGAAGACGAATGTTTGTGGTTCTACTTGTTTCATGTTCAATGTCTATTAGTTCATTGAAATGCTCTTGAATCGTTCCTATTTTTTTCAGGAATCAAACCAAACCAATCAAAACTGAATATGAAACAAGTGGAATCATGAGCAGTCGTCATTCAGCCATCACTATCAAGCAGAAGTGGCGGCGGGATTGGAGAACACCTTGCAGTATTGATCGGGCACTTGTGATTTCCGTGACCCGTCGCGTGAATCGCGCAAATCGCGAAAATCAGCGAAACCTGCGACGGATCGCGGACTCTGACACCAGCCTTAGGGTGCATCTGATCTATAATGATACTTAGCGCCTATTAGGCTGATGTCAGTGTCTGCGATCCGTCGCAGGTTTTGCGCGATTCGAGCGATTTACGCGATTTTTGCGATTTGCGCGATTTTCGCGATTTGCGCGAAACCTGCGACGGATCGCAAAAATTGCAAGTGCCCCATTTGAACATTTGAAACACTGAATATGAAACAAGTGGAATCATGAGCAGTCGTCATTCAGCCATCACTATCAAGCAGAAGTGGCGGCAGGATTGGAGAACACCTTGCAGTATTGATCGGGCACTTGTGATTTCCGTGACCCGTCGCGTGAATCGCGCAAATCGCGAAAATCGCGAAACAGCGAAACCTGCGACGGATCGCGGACTCTGACACCACCACTGCACCGAGATCACCCTCCCTTCCAGGCGGGTTTATTCCAAATCAGATCCATGTTGCTCATGAATAAAAGGGCATTTTTCACTTCAGTAGTATGTTCATTTATTTCTTCTGGTCACTGCAGTCCCATTCCACCCTTTTGCATATTTGGAAGTATATGGGCTTGTAAAATGTGTAGCAATTCGTTTTAGGTCGAGTGCGGTCATTATGTTGATTTTACACATGCTGACGTTTTTTGCGATGAAGTAGCGCGTAAAGCCAGGGAAGCGGATTGAAATGTTCCCATATCAATTGAATCATCATCGCTGAATTATATACGAACTGATTAGGTGCTGTGTAGACGTTTATAAAGAGGCTGTATGGCAGAAAGTCGGAAGCTCTGTTCAAAGACTAGTTTATTATAAGTCATTTTTTAGTTAGATCGTCAGGAAGGAAAGGAGAAGCAAATAAGTAAAGGTGGAAGAAATCGAGGAACCGGAAGAAATGGAAACTATAAAAGACCGTGGGCGTCGTTTTCCATGCTTGTAAGGTGTTTTTTAGATCTAGTAGCTATCCCTTCGTTCGTATGGAACGTAGGCTCTGAATTCATTCTTCGATATCTTATAGGTTATTCCTGCAGTGACATTTGGCCTGGGATGTTGGCAGACCTATCGACTTAGATGGAAGCTAAATTTGATAGAAAAACTGAAGGAACGCCTGAATGAACCTGCTGTCGCTTTTCCGCTTGACGAGTATGTTCCAGGAATGAACTTAGGGAGCGGCTCTTATCTCCAGCATCCTGTAAACAGCTATTTTCAGTGTTTCTCAGTTGCAAAATATGGAATACAGAAGGGTTCGTGTAACGGGAGAATTTCTTCATGACAAAGAATTTTTCATTGCACCTCGAGGCCGCTTCGATCCTGGTTTGCGCATTCTCGTTCCTTTCTGTACAATACTATGCTTTCATTATGTTAAACTTTCAGGCCATAAGGAGAAAAGCACTGGGTCGTTGTTATCCAGCGATAATCTCTCTAGTCATGGTGCTCACATAATTACTCCATTTCGTCTTTCAAACTCAGGGTGAGCGATGTGTTTTCCTTCTCCTTCTTGCCCTTTCTCTTTACCTTTTCCACATTTTTTACATATTTTTTCTGTTGGAAAAAAGAGAACGAGGATTTCATTTTGATTATCTAAATTTAAACAATTTTCATACCACCACGACGTTTGTTTATTATGAGTTGCCTGACCTTTATCTGCAGTGCAATTACGGAAAATCAATGAAAAATTCCGACGTGATATCCTCGACTACTGCTGACCAATTGTTCATTGAAGTGTCTAGATGTAACATGTTGCGATATGGAGTGTGCGGTTTAATCGCAACCACGAGGGGTCCTTCGCGTTAGAATGACTTGCTTCGAGAAATCAGTTTGGTACCGTAGCAGGACCTCTCATTCCCTATGTGCCCTTTTCCCTTTCGCATTTCTTGAACAACACCTCGTGTCGAGCAAATGGTTATCCTGTATGTGTAGTAGAGGGTCCACAGTCATATCATATTAAAATGATACCACAACATTCGTTTGAAACGTGGATTTGGTGGCGGTTGGTTTCCTTCTTCCCTTCCTTCCCTGCCTCTCCCTGCATTTTCTTCTAATGACGATAGTAACATCATGAGGAATGATTGAAATTTTGCTGAGTCGGTTTATATAATGGTTGGAGTGGCGTTTTGCAATCATAACAACACTACAGATTGGTTTTCTCACCATACCCTCCTGTTCAGCTGCGAAGGTAGCACCAGTGACCAAGAGTTTGCTTAGTGGATTTTATGTATACGTATAGCAGTCGTTGGTTATCACAATTATGTCGTTGCGAGATGCTGATACTGCAAGAGCTGCAGTCTCCCCAGTTTTGTTGGCGGTTGATCAAGCTTGCTTCTATATTTTCATTTTGTGGGCCGACAAACATATCGACATACCCATCGACCTATATACCGACAAACCGACACCAAATTAGCGGTTTTAATAGAGGATTAGGTCTTAGTTCATCCTTTTTCAGTGAGTAGTCTTATAAAAGTCAACTGTTTCCCTCCAGCCAGCCCCTCAGTGGAGCATTTCATTAGTTGACGTAGAAGATGAATTTTACCAGTTTGTTCTATCAAAGTATTTTTTGCTCGCTTGTTAACATCAAAGATTTGATGTAGTACGTATCTAGACTTGTCATCATGATAAATCGTGGTTGGGTACCCGCTTCACGCATCTCGCCAAGCAGTCGTCAGAGTTCTCAAATAAAGGGAATAGTCACATTCGATGCTGTCGTAAGAAGAAGTGAAGCGGTAATCGTTATTTTTAAAGGTTTCTTGGCTACATGTTAGTACTGTCATTTCGCAACTTCAGCGTCCTCAGTTCATGGGTGCAAATATACCGGAAAAAGGAACATGGTTCTACAAAGATTTCGACCAGATGGCTCAGCAGCACAATACTGCTCCTATTTACCTCGAGGCAGTTTATGGTAGGTTTAACTCAGTGTTTCCGACATCTTTCTGCCAATGACTGTTTCGAAGGAAACGTCCACGGGCGAATTATAGTTATAGTATGAAATAAAGTAAACTACGAATTATAGTATGCAAGCAATATGTGTGCTCCATGCCGTTTCTCCCCCTCTTGGGCTTAGTCCTAATGCCACCCTCAATCGGCCCTGTTGTAGATGTCCCTCCCCCAAGGACATGAGCGCCCCATGAACTACTGTTTGAGCCGCATCATTCACGATAAGAGCGAAAAGAACAAAAAATTGCGTTCGTTCTGGTAAACCGTTTGAAGAACCGTCAGAACTGCTACGTTCTCAAATTCCGCCGTATCCTACTATATATAAGCGGCTAGCGTGTGTCTGTTGTGTTGTGTGTGTGTGTGTGTGTGTGTGTATGTTTGAACGGAAATTCATAGCTCGAGTCACAGTAACGATAGCGCAGTGGTTCTTACATATGTTATAGGGGGTGGGATGGGGACACAAGTGGTACGTGATAGGAACTGATAACGACTGATAATAGCTGATAAGAGGGGCTAGAAAGCGAGCATCGCCAATTTCGTTTTGCCGTTCATATTGGTAAGAGAGCGTCTATACTTACAAGTCTTATGTGGGGCGGTCCCGGGACATTGGTGGTACATGATTGGAAGCGATAGCAACTGATAATGGCTGATAAGATGCGCTAGAACGCAAAAGTCGTCGATTCCGTTGCCTGGCTCGCGTTGACACCAGAGCAACCATACTTACAAGTGTTATGTGGGGTGGGACGGGGACATTGTTGGTGGGTGCCAGAAACTGATAACGATTGATAAGGGCCGATAAGGCGCGCCAGAACGCTGAAGTCGTCGATTCCGTTGCCTGGCTCGCCTTGACACCAGAGCAACCATACTTACAAGTGTTATGTGGGGTGGGACGGGGACATTGTTGGTGGGTGCCAGAAACTGATAACGATTGATAAGGGCCGATAAGGCGCGTCAGAACGCAAAAGTCGTTAGTTCCGTTACGCAGCGTTGACACTAGAGCGTTCCTACTTACAAATTGTAGTAAGTCGTAGTAGTACAAACAAAGGTACGTGCACATTATTTCGATATATATCCAGCTTACTTAATAGAATTCGACTGCATAAATTTAAAAAACAAGTCTTCAGCAAATGATAAGTTTCATTTCTGACTATTAAGAAACCCAAACTCATTAAACCGCTAATCCTTTCGTGGTTCTAAATAATGATGAATGTAAATGAATGATAAGCATTAGCTCCTCACTTATGTAAATAGGCATATTTCGTTTTGATTTTGAGACTGACAGCAATCCTATTCACCGCTAAATTATCTTAATTCAAGAAAAATGCTGGATGTTTACAGAGTTGATCAATATACCAGTTCAGCTCAGACGTTATCACGCGTATTCTCGATGAGCTTCAGTGAAACTGTGGAGGGTCTAACACAGTCAATAGTGAGATGGTTAATGGAGTATCTCATGCTGATATTCCATGGGTCCTCCAATTTCGCTAAAGCCTGCCGTGTGATGCGCGCGATAGCGGGCGAAGCAAAACTGGTCTATATATAAATTCGCTGGCGATACACTATTTCACTATTCCACATATGGTTCGTTCTCGGAGTGCTTTTACTAGGACCAGTTTAGCTCCGCCCGCTACCGCGCGCATGACACGGAAGCCTCTGACAAAATTGACAATCGGTGAAGCTTTGGGTTTCACCGCTTAACTATAGCTGCTTCGTTAAATGCATTTGGCTGTATCTCACTGTTTGATAAGCGCAGTGAAGTGCACAGCTAAGTGATGATGTAAACAACCACCATGCATCGAGAATCGAGGAAATTTAGCGGTCGAATAATTTTTGGTAATCTCAAGACGGAATGCCCAGTATTCACTATCAAATTTATTAGAGCATCCCATTCATCCTCAAGAACTCTCTAGAAGGTGTAGCGGTTGAAAGGTGTTTGAATTTACAATTATAACGCTAATGAAATGATATTGAAATGAAATGCATTATCTGCAATCTGGTTTCGAGTAATCTCTACGTTCGTACGCATATCGTAATTATCAGTCCTCATCTGTCGTTATCACTTTTTGACCCCCACAAAATATGTTACCGTCCAGCCCCATATCATGTCCCAAAATCAGTTCCTGACGACTGCTGCGAAGCGCGCTATGAATTTTGTGAAAATTGTGTTTCAGCGCCTCTCAATTGCTCATATCAGTCGTTATCACTTTGTGACCCCCACCAAATATGTTCCCGTCCCACCCCCTATATCATATCTTGAAACCAACTCCTGACGACCACTGGTGCCCGAGCTATGAATTTCGCGACACTTGCGTTCTAGCGCCTTTTATCAGCCCTTATCAGTTGTGATCACTTTCTTTACCCCACCAAATATGTTCCCGTCCCACCCCCTATATCATATCTTGAAACCAACTCCTGACGACCACTGGTGCCCGAGCTATGAATTTCCGGTCAGACAGACAAACACATACACACACAGACAGACACACACACACAACCGCTTAGCCGATTATATATAGTAGGATCTTTTTGGCCTTTCCAACTAATGAAAATAACATTCACTTTTCTACCGCACTCTATTTCCATCAATTGTTTTGTCTCTATCCTCCTAATTCAAATGCAGTAACCCGTTGGAGTCCACCGACTCTTTCAAGGAGTCGCAGAGACGTGGCCGCCCCAAGTTCTTTGCATGCATCGCCTTTGGCGCCGCGCGAACCTTTTCGACCTTACGCAGAGTGTGGTTTTCGAAGGTTTGTTTCTCTTGGAAATTGAACTTTTTGCGTTAGGCTTTGTACGTTGTCTCTAGTGATCAAATTTGACGTATTTATGCTTTCCTACAACCTCTGGCTCAGACTTTTCCTTTTTTTATCTCACTTGTGATTGACTTTGTGACCTTCTACATAACTTCGCAATTAGATGTGCTACTTCTTATATCTGATTCCTATTCTAACTCTTATTTGTGGAATTTTGGATATCTCAGCAACGTCTGTCCCCTTTTTGACATTCTTTTTGCTCCCGATAGATGGCTGACAAAATTGGTGCTTTTTCGTCCCTTTGACTGCGTTGCTTGTGAGTTTTGTAAGGCTCGCTCTAGATACGCGCACTCAACGTCTTAGTGCTCTATGTGATGTTGCATAGTTGTCCATGAGAGGGTGCCCATTGAATACTCGTAAATTAAAATTTACTGATAAGTAGAAGTTATGTTGTTCTTTACTGTATTACAAAGATGAGAGAGAGTCACAAATTTCTTCTGGATTTATTTCCGATTCCATTTGATTTGCATGATTTTCTAGAATCCACAGTACCAGGTGGACCTATCGGTGGCCAATCCAACGTTAACGTCAGAAACGATCACCTATCCTATTTGATTACGTGGTAAGTTTCTACTTTTTTCCTGGCAGACTGCTGCTATTTTTCTAACTGAAAATCCAATTCCAGGTTCTCTCTGAGTGCGGTTACGTTAGCGATGTGGTTCATTCGTTTCAGGAAGTAGTTTGCTTTTGCAGATTTTTGTTAGATTCTATACTTCATCATACATAAATATTTTGCATTTTCGCGTCCCTTTTCACATATTTAGTTTCAAGCTCATACTTGTTATTTTGGTGTCATACTTACCGTTATGGTTCTGGTCAAATCGTGTCAGCATTAGCAAAGGATGAATGAGCACTGGGCCGCAAGAGTCCTATTGCTTTCCCATTTACGACATGTAAGGGTTGTTGTGGTTCGGGAGCGGTCGCCCTCCTAACCCTCCAACACCGACGCATCGAGGTGGTTCGGGCCCCTCGTGGCCTTTCCCAGGCACACGTCGTTCTACGGGTCCTTCCCGGGGATCATGCGGTTTCCCGCACGCATGACCTCCGCAACCCGAGGCCTCAAGGGTTTAACTTAGGTTAATGGGCTGCGACGAGCGGTGCGACAACAGCAGCACATGAAGACTTGGTGCGCCTTAGTCGGGCTCTAGCCGTGGCGCTATCCAACCTTACGCATGCGTCGCCAATGCAACCAGGAGCGCGACGGAGTCCCGTCGTGGCGCGCCCAGGTGCCTTATCACTGTGGTAGCGACTCGATATAGCTTCTTGAATGCTTTATGAAACACGGTAAACTCTATTTTCTAGAAATAGTTCCTAGCGTCTACATCGCTCAATCATCAATCCTTAAAGGCAGCGTTTACGTTAGAAAGCAGCCCATTAAAAAAGGAACGCGTGCTCTTTGGCGCCGGAATGCAGGAAAAAAAAACTACGAGAACAACTATCTAAGAAGCTCAGAAGAAGAACCACCCATGCTCGTAGTTTTCGCATTGATGACACTTATGGTGGTGCTGTTCTCTTCGACACTAGCGCCCTCTAAACGGCTAGACTTGCGGTGAGTATTGCCCGTCGGTGGGCGTGCCGCATCGATGGCGCCGTACGAACGGTTATGCTACATCGTTGGGCATATCCTTCGCTGCGAATTGCGTGTCAGTTCGTCTGTTTTTACGCCAGGTACTTCCCCTTCTTCGACCCTCGACCTTATCGTCGAATCCTCCTTCAACTCCCGATTTCCTCCTTCTCCTCCTAGATGAACATGTGAGTAGCAGTCCCAGCCATTTCCATGTCAAAATCGGGGTTCTACTTGGCGTTATCCACATCTTAGTCTTCCACGGAAGTTGTTCGTGATTGCAGTATACGCACTAAACGGATCTCCGAAAAACATCCGTGAATAAAATGAAATATTTAATGGAAAATTCGATTGGCTTCTTCTTTCTTTTACAGAGGAGAGTGTCGCATCTGAATGGCTTCCTCTGGCGTTTGGATAATTCTTCTAGTAGTAGGAGAGGCTTTTCATGAACTGTGTGCGACGCCGATGAAGCGGCTATACTCGTGGCAGATTGGGACGCGAGCCGGACGTTGCCATGCATTCCAACGTTCCTCGCAACGGCGCGTAAACACACTAGCAGACACGGGAGCAATTGCCCATGGCCAACAGCGCACTATGTGACCTCTCACAACAGAATGTCAGAAGAGGTGCTGGGAGTTCAATGACGTTACTTTGGCCAAGCAGTGGGAGTCCTCGAGTGTTAACTAAGTTACCTGTATATGAGAGTGTTGTTCCAATAGTTGGTCATCAGAGTCAAGCTCTGATCGAATTAAGCACATTAAGCAATGTGTAGTTGAGCTGCTCGTCGGACGCTGTCGGGCATATACAGATCTTACGTACCCCATTCGAAATCTCGACAGTCAGATTAACGCGCCTGGCTGGGTCGACTTGACAGTGGCCGTTTGCGCCAGTCTGAACGCTCGTCGTACATCGGCGTCCCCTATCTCTCACAGCTTTGTCGGCCTGTGGGCAATTATATCAGGGGCAAGAGTCTCTCTTGTTGCTGAGCCCGCAGCTTGGTCCGCTCTGTTCAAAACGCCTGCTGCCCGCGTCGTCAAACTATATTACACGTCCAAATCAGCTTCGAGAGATGGCAGTGTGGCTTCACCGCGAGACACAGAGACTCTTTTCCGCCGCCTCCATCCACACTCACGTCTGCTGCGTGTGAGAGACCCATTGTTTTCCGATTTCTTGCCACTCGCGAATATCCCCACTGCTTCCGTCCTCACGTGGACTCAGACGTGAGATTTCCTCAGTCTCGAAACTTATCTAGGAGCCCCGCTTTCGACACAGTGCAACAATCGCTATTTTCGTGTGAGCGCGCTGGAGCGGACCTCGAGAACGCCGAAAAAGTTCGCTAAGTTGCTTTCCCAGTGAACCACCACCCGAGAGATGCGAGTCGCTACACCCTAATCCATAACGCATTCTCGCGTGATATTCCTATGAGCGACATTGATTGCGGCGGCTTGTGGAGCGTGCTGCTCCACACCTTGCTACATCAGAGAGACAAGCGCGTTTTTTCGTCCACGCAACGCGAGCTGTTCATATATCGGTAATCGCAGAGGCTACGATCAATGTTCGCCCATTGCTGCGCATTTTGCTTTCTCATTTCTTTTCGTGAGTCGTACGTAGTGCCTTGGACTAGAAGCTAGTCCACAACAGTTGTTATACAAAGAGCATAAGGAAGAATATGCGTGAATGCTTCAGAGGGGTAATGTAGTGGTTTGTTTTTGCAATGCGCAAGTTGATGAAAAGATACTCAGGATATAAAATATATATCCATCTTTCTAATTCCATCCATTTCCTATCAGCCCCGTAAAAGCTTCAAGCTGACAGCGGTAGTGCAAACTTGACCGCGAACTTGCGAGTTCCGTTTGGCGAGTGGTGAGAGCAAGACTTACCCTTCTCGCAGTGCAAAAGTGTTCAAGTTTGTTGTGGAATCCACAGGTCCACCCTGATCTGTGGTTTCCGCAGCAGAAAATTTCCCGCTGAGGAAAGCGAAAATGCCTCTTTCTGTCTTCGCGATTGCACTCATGGCAATGTGTTTGGAATACCAGAAGTTGAAGCGTATATGTTCCGGTCTCGCATCTTTTGTTATATAAAGGGATAGATTGCAAAAACGTGGCACGCACCCCTTCGCGTCTTCATCACTGCTAAAAGATTTTCGATGCTCAGGTACACCATCCAGCGGTAGTAGGCTCTCAGGTCACAGCGAACAGTGTATCTCAACATTGAGTGGATGTCAAAAAATAGTCGTCTCTTCCGCGACCATGAGATAAGTCCGCGTTTTGACTGTTGTGTCCATCGGGAATGGAGGCCATATCAATGGGAACTACGGAGCGAAGCACAATGATTTTCTATGGAGGGTTATTCTTTAGGTAACGTTATGCCGGGGATTTCATAGTTATGGAAAATGTTGATGATTACATGTAAAGCAAGGTGCATTGAACAAGAAAACCAAGTTCATACTAGTTATTCGATGTGTTTCATTCAGGGAAATGTTGCTTACGATCCAACATTGCGGCTTATTTTACGTCAGATGTTCAAAGAACTTCGCGTTGATCCACTGGAGAAGACGTTCTTTTCGCGAAATGCGAAGTAAGTGTTACTCGTATCGAGAGTTGAAAATAAGTACAATGCATTAGCTTTGCCATCCGTGATTTAAGCGTTACTGCTGGTTCTCTATTAGTTGGAAGAAACTCGTTCTCGACTGATCTCCTTGGGTAGGAATTAAAATTTTCGAGAGGGGTCGGCCA